AAAAWATRCCTTGGTGTATTGCCATTGGGTGTAGCAGGTTGTATTGGTGCATTTGTAACWGACCAGGGTTGGCTTAAAGAGAAACACAGAACTATTTTGTGAAAAAGAATAAACAGAGTCCTAGAGGTAGATTAAATTTGTTTAACTCAAAATAACAATATAGTTTAAATTTGTAAACCTGTTGTTCTTGAAGGCATTTGAATCATTACTCATCATTCGAGCCATCTCCGACTGTAAACTGTGTTGCATCACTTTATATCTGTAAAAATGTATGTAAATCATTGGTAGTCACATCATTTCGCTGTTTAGCTGTTGCTGGCTGGATGGATGGATGGATGGATGGATGGATGGATGGATGGATGGATGGANGATGGATGGATGGATGGATGGATGGATGGATGGATGGATGGATGGATGGATGGATGGATGGATGGATGGATGGATGGATGGATGGATGGAAAGTTCAATAGCCTGTCTCGTTAATACAGTACAGTTCAGGAAACTTTAAGCAAGTGTTCTTCTTTTCTTATTATCTTAGCTTTTATTACCTCTCGTTTAGACTGTTGTAACTCTTTGTATGCTGGCTTTCACAAATCATCTTTGTATCACTTACAAATKGTCCAGAATGCAGCAGCTCGTTTTTAAACATGTACTATAAAAAGTGAACACTTGACTCCTGTTCTGGCTTCTCTTCAATGTCTTTCTGTCCACTTGCACAATGATTTTAAGATTCTTTTATTGGCTTTTAAAGTTGTTGTTGTTGTTGTTGTTGTTGTTGTTGTTGTTGTTGTTGTTTTCTTAACATTTACACTCCTGTCAGGGTACTTTGGTCTACAAACCAGTTTCTCTTAAATGTCCCTTGATCCAAACTGAAATCCAGAGTTGATCAGRCTTTTACGCTTTATGTTCCAAAACTGTGGAACAGTTTGACGTCTTTACATACAGTCTGCTGAGACTCTTTTAAGTCTTTGCTCATAACTCATCTCTGTTCTTTAGATTTTGATTGAGACAGAGTTTGAGATTAAGCTAGAGTTGATGGTTTTTGATTTTATTTTTGTGTTTTTTTTATTTTATTTTAACTTTTATTGTCTTACTGGCACAAGTCATTGACTACACTGGAAAACGTTTTGGTCAACTTTTTTTGTTTTACTGTTCTATATAAATACAGTAAACTGGCATTGACGGTTGCGGTTTTTGACTTTTATCTTAGCAAAGTATCTTTTGCCAAAACCAAAAGAATATTTTTGTCAATTCAATAAAAACCTAAAATCTAAACAAAAAGCCATCTGGGGCCTTGTTTTGTCTCTGCTCTAGCTTTCCACACATATGGGRCCACAACTGTGAATCCAGATGTCCCAAGTGAGAGGGCAAAACGGTGTTAGCTGCTGCACCTGATCCATTTCCTGACAAACAGTGTGGATGCTGTTGTCACTTTAATGGGACGGCACATCTGAGCAGTCCTGCAGAAAAATAACTGTCTGCTATTTGAAATAACAGCACATCACAATAGTATTTAGTGTTTGGAAAGGCTTTGTTTAATTAAAATACCTAAAACTGGCAAATGAAAGACTTAAATGTTTATGTTGGAACATTAGGCTACTCTCATGTTGATCTTTGTGTTAACCTGATGACATAGCATTTATGTTTTTCTAGTACCAGTGATTTAAAAATTCCTATAACTAAATCCCTTTTGCTTGAAAATCAGAATATAAAAGAAATCTTGTTTATCAACTGGAAAATTTGTTCTGTGACAAAATAATGGATTTTTTTTAACAAATTAGAAGATAAAAAACTTTATCTTTTATCTTGTGAAAATGAGGAAAAAATCAAGGACCCATTTTCTGATTAAATATATTGAGAAAAATAAATTTCCATGCTGGTAGGTTTTCACCAATCTTATATTTAACTGAAGCTATAAAAATAAAATAAATTCAGTTTGAAAATCACAGAACTCCAAAAAACAGGCCATTTTGACTAWAGAATAGCATAAAGAATTGGATTAAAGTGAAACTGATGAAACACGAGTGTCATATCTTACAGCATTGAGACCACAGAGCTGATAGCAGGCCATGGTGATGATAATAGTGATGAGCTGCCAACGAACAGCTGGGTTCCTCAGCAGCTGAAGCACAGAGGCGGTGTGGAGGTTGTCCTGAGCTCGTGCCTCCGCATGGACCTCTTCCAGCTCCTGGGACACGTCCTTCTTCCCCAAAAACCTCTGAAAAGCTGACAAACAAACACACCAACAAGCACTGCCTTCAGAATATTAAATGTGCAGGAAGCATGGATGACAGCCATCATATTAAGATTAAACATATAAATATAAACTTGTCTTCCACAGCTTTATGTGATATTAATGTTGTGCAATCAGCAGTTTGCACTCAAGCATTGAAATACAGTATACCCCACTATATGACTGCTTTTGATTTTTTTAAGATCWGCACTATATGTAGTGTTATAACATGTAAAGAACAAAACTTCACACCAGGATGTGAGATGTAACACTGCTCATAAGGACAAACAATACAGTGAATATACTGYATGTAAAACAAAATGAAAGCAACATGTGTCTAATCTGCAGTTTATWATTATTCCATGAATATGATGTTTTTTATCAAACAAAAAACATTTAGAATTTTTATATAAGTGCAACAGAAACTTATCATAGGCTGTCAATATTTTAGTGACAATCTTGTCAGTTCATCGATCTTGAACTGAGCCTTAAAGGTTTGTTATGTTTCTGCAATAGAAATACAATCCCAAAATGCTTTCAGATGGATTTATGTATGGGTAAAGTTGTAGGAGTTGCTGTCTTGTGATTCTGAAGCTCCAAGTTTAAGCCCAGGTTGTGACAGAAATGGCTTTTCAGCATAAATTTAAAGCCAAATGTTTCAGATGAGTTCACTCGCCGTGGCAGCGATTACAAAAAAGGAGCAGCTGAAACAAAACCAACAATAACAACAAGAAGCAGTTTCAATCTTCTAAAGCTTCAAATTCATCTGAAAGCAAGTTTCAAACAAAAATCATTTGTATGTTAGGGGTTTTGTATCGCGTGGCAGGGTGGTCCAGTGGTCAGTCCTGTTCTTGCAGGAAAAAGGTTGGTGGTTTGCCTCCCAGACAAGAGGGGGGTCTCTGCATTCTCTAAATGGGCGGTTCTTGGTATGTGGGAGGGGTATGTCCAAGACATGATTGGTGTAGTTGACTATTTTAGGTGGGGTTTAAGGAATGCTGGGCAGCTGGGGGGATGTTTAACAGGCCAGAAATCATATATTTTTACCTATAAATATTAATTGTAGTCGTAATTTGAGACAGGACAATGCTAATCACACGAAATTTGAATGCTGTACATGTGGAGGGATGAGAAACAATTAGGCTTGGTCGAAACAGCCCTAACCATCTCGGAAAAAGATAGACATTTTTTGAATATGAAAATAAACGTTAGTCCTAAGTTAGGATAATATTACATTATTTAAATCAATAAATTATGTTTACACATTTACAATATTTTTTATTTGAGACATTGTTTTGCTTTAAACTAAATAGTCCATGTATTATATTTACATGTTCACAGTAACTTTACTACTACCAGTACTTCATCTTTTAATTGACCCCACAAGACAAGTCATGCCGAGACCTTATCTGACGCAGCTTTTCTGTGCAGAGTTTGTGTGTTTCCCCTGTGTACACACGTGTTTAACTGGATGCTCCTGTTTCCTCCCACTGAACATAAACAAATACATATGTTCTGTTAATTGGTAACTCCAAATTGCCCCCAGGTGTGAGAGAGCCTGAATGAACGTCTGTCCTGTTTGTTTCTGAACAGGCTGCAAATCCATCACAGGGCTTACTGACGGATGGATGGATGGATGGATGGATGGATGGATGGATGGATGGATGGATGGATGGACGGACAGACGGACGGACGGACGGATGGATGAAATATGGATGAAAGTTGGATGGATGGATGAACAGACAGCAATTTTAAATCCAAACAGCGGATTCTTCTCAGATTATACTGTATAAAAATATTTGTGGTCACATCTTTTTTTTCTCTCAGTCTGAGGCTCAGACAAACACATTTTACATTTAAGAACTGTCCAGGTTTCTAGCACACATTTTCATCTCAGCCACCTGAAAGTTGTTTGAAGTTTTGCTACTTGAATTCAATGCACAGGAAGGCCGGATTGGGTTTAAAGACACCTCCCTCTACGCTTTGATCGTTTCCCCCCAAAGGTAAGACCTTGAGGTCACAGGAGGCTCARGTGGACAGAGATTGAGGATGCAACCCAGAATAATAAATCTCTGAAAACCGAAGGGAACAAAAAAAAAGGACAGGTCATTAGGATGTTGAAGCTTGCTGGCTCACTGTGTGTACACTGACCACACAGAAASTGCCAACACTGAGCCAGGGTTAGTGATTTAGGAGCCTCCTCTGAGGTACGGTCCATGCAACGACAGGACACTTTAAATGTGAAATATCACAGATAAAACATTGTAGTCTATCCTGACTCAAAGGTTTGTACGTGACACACAATTATTCTTACTGTTTAACTTTTTCAGAACTTAAGCAATGTCTTTTTTATGTGGTGTGATGTGACATCAGCCTTTCAGCTGTGCGTTTAGCTACAGGTCAAAAATCTGAAAAGGGAAAATTACACTAGTCAAAATAAATCAGGGAAAAATGTTTAAAAATGAAAAGTGTAGCTTGTACTAAAGGAAAAAAGTAGTTTTTATACAGCGGTTTGAGCCATATGTTCAAAAAGACTATCCCTTCTTTATACTGCCTTTTTCTCATGATGAAACAAATTTCATCCTTTCATGGGATTACAGCATCACATAAGTGGAGGAAGTATAAAATATATAGTATCTGACTGAGGTCAGTAATTTGAAGTTTAACTTATGTGACACAAAAGTCTTTTATTGCGTCATCTTTTAAAATGATGCATTTTTCAAGACACAAAGTTTAGATGTCATGTTGTTCGTTAGTGATCAGTTTCATATTCGTCAGTGGGAAAGTCTCACACRACATATTTTACACTGTCACACTGCTGTTTAAACATCCTGCCTCTCCCTGCACTCTGTGACCACCGCTGTTTCAGAGCCGTAAATCARCTCTGCCCTTTGTTTCTTTATCCTTACACACAATACATCACCAAGCATTAAAAGGTGCACCAGTTCCACATTGAGTGCACTGTGCAAAAATGATTAACATGAGAGAAAAAAAGGAACTTTGAAGCTTGAGCTCATTTTTTTTGTTTTGGATTTAGTGTTTTAACCCTCGTAGATTTATCGGTGGGGCGAACCAGGTCTTTGTGAAGTCTCGCCTCAGTCTAATGACCATCGTTAAAATACATATTTAACTGTGTCTCCCTGAGCTGTCAATATCAGGAACATTTAAAGATGTTTGCAGTGTGTTGAGCTTTCCAACCTCTTATTTTTCCTCATGCAGTATGGTATGGGATAAATCTTGTGACAGGAGGAATTTAATTTGAATTGCTCAGATTGAATCTCTGTGCATAATTTGAAATTGAATGCATTGGTTTGAAAATAAATTTCACTAAATTGAAACTGAATTTAAAGTTTTGTATCTGAATTAATTTGCTTTGAAACTGTACTTTGGTTTATTAAAAATTCAGTTCAAATTTCAGTTCCAAAATTCAGATTTCTGTGTCACATATCCTGGTCCTTGAGAAAGCCCACCAGAGTAGTCAAATACAGATAGACAGATTTACATTTCACTTTGGTGAAGTTTCCCTTCTGTATGTAACAGANCAGTATGGTATGGGATAAATCTTGTGACAGGAGGAATTTAATTTGAATTGCTCAGATTGAATCTGTATGTGCATAATTTGAAATTGAATGCATTGATTTGAAAATAAATTTCACTAAATTGAAACTGAATTTAATGATTTCAAACTGAATTTAAAGTTTTGTATCTGAATTAATTTGCTTCGAAACTGTACTTTGGTTTATTAAAAATTCAGTTCGAATTTCAGTTCCAAAATTCAGATTTTTGTGTCACACATCCTGGTCCTTGAGAAAGCCCACCAGAGTAGTCAAATACAGATAGACAGATTTACATTTCACTTTGGTGAAGTTTCCCTTCTGTATGTAACAGAGTTGATGCAATCCACCATAAAAGTGACAAAAACAAAGTTATTTTATTGCCGTGATTAATTTTACCTATAGAAAATGTTACATTTAGATCTCGTCATGGATCATCAKCAGCAGCATCTGATCAATATGTGATCCATGATGTGATGTAAATGTAACATTTTCTACATATAGGTAAATTTAGTCACTGCAATAAAATAACTTTTTCTGTTTTTGTCACTTTTATGGTGGATTGCATCAACTCTGTTACAGTACAGAAGGGAAGCTTCACCAAATGGAAATGCAAATCTGTCAATCTATGTTTGATTACTCTGGTGGGCTTTCTCAAGGACCAGGATGTGTGACACAAAAATCTGAATTTTGGAACTGGAATTGAAAGTAGTCAAACTGAATTTTTAATAGAACAAAATGCAATTTCAAAGCAAATTAATTCCCATTCAAGTGTCAATTTAGTAAAATTCATTTTCAGACCAATGCATTCAATTTCAAATGATGCACATACAGATTCAATCTGAGCGATTCAAATTCAATTCCTGCTGGCACAAGATTTATMCCATAGTATGGTTTCACTTTGTGTTATTGTCAAGGAGTGTCTGATCACAACATTCACAGTGCGGATAGAAGATACATTCAAAATACAAAAATATTTTTTGCATAAAACTGCCCAGATTCTGTTCAGTATTTTATTGACTCAGAAGAATGAGTAATRTGTTATGGCAGAGACTCTGTGGCATCTTCAAAATCTTTGCTTTAAATTGTGAGAAGACACAAGTAGGGGGAGGAAACTTTTGGGCAAACACCAGGTTTTTCTAGATGAGAGTTTTACACTCAATACCTGTTGTTTTGTTTATTTGCATATGTTTTCTAACAAATCATCATCACTGTCTTAATGAAAAAAAAATAGGTTCTGAAACTTTTATAATGAATGGAGATTTTGTATTTTTTTTAACAAAGTCGCTTCAGAGCTGTACATCAACKTTGCCCTTTGAAATCCAGATTCAGAGTTAAGCAGTGTAACTCTTTAAATATTGGTTTAACCTTCTGTAAAAGAAACAAAGCTGCTTCTGACATTTTGTGGTATGATGAAATTTAGAATAATCTKTCTTGAAAAT